CAGGAAATGGGGTCGACCGTTTATGTGTGATTGTATTCTGAGCACTGACCGACATCACACAGCAAGTTATCTGAAATATAAAAAAGCAGCAAAAGACCATTAAGTACGGTGATTCACTAAGCCCACCTTATTTGTTTAGGGGAGATGACTCTAGGGCGCGAAGATTTGTCGAAAATTCACGTTGTTAAAAGATTTGAAATGTGACTTAATGTGCATTATAGAACGCATAATATAAGGCAAATACTCTCCTCTCGAATTAAACACATGGTGTATCATCTACCAGGTCAATGTGAACCTCTGAGTGCGCTCTACATAGTCAATTTCGCGATATTCCGTCAATTTTCCTCTCATCACAACCTGTATTTACTATTATTTCAGGAGGATTTTTTCTATTAGATTATATTTGTCACTCATGAATCATGACTTGTGATGATGTGAACTTGGCACATGATACCGAATACACGGCAAACAAGGTGAGTGAATTTATAATTCAAAAGGTATCAAGAAAACTAAGTGGTAAAGTGAAAATTGATTATCTTTTCTCTTCAGACCCGATCAAAACCACCAAGATTTATCTGAAAAAGTGACTTTACTGAGAGAAGGAAAACTGAAATTCTAAATCAATTAACATGACGACGGAGCAGGATTGGAAACAATGGAAACCACTTAAAAAGCCCTATATGAAGAGCCGGGGGTGCATGATTTCGAAGACTGATTAACTAATTATATAGCATACATATAAAAAGGGACAATCAACCATCTTGTTCGAGTTCAGTGCATAATCACCTGACCCTGTGAATGAACAGGTCGAATACTCGTTCGAAAAGAACGGGTCAATAACGTCCAGTAACTGTTGGGACTAAACTGAAGACACGAAAGCAGCTCAACATGCCTCAAGAATTGATGCCTCATGAAGTGGAACAGATGAATAAAGCGATCATGAGATTTGACCCAAATAATAGTGGTTTCATTCAAACGAGTAGTTTGGGAAATTTGATGCGCTGGTTAAAAATGATTCCATCAGAATCCGAAGTTGCTCAGCTCGCCGCTCGATTAGACCCCGAAAAAACTGGTCGCATTAAACGGAAGTTAATTGTGCCAGCTCTTAGCGAGACTTGGATTTCCATTCCTCAAGAATTTGAGGCGAAATTATGGGAAGCATTTTTAGTTTTTGATAAACAAGACAAAGGTGTTTTGTCCGAAGATTTAATGCGAGATATTCTGACAAAAATCGGCTTAGAACCAGTGCCTGAGAAAGAGGTAAAAAAGATTCTCCGTGATTTCACAAATCCCAAAACTGGGATGATTGAATACGGTGTCCTCATTCGACACTGGCAAGAGTAGAGCTGCTTAGAGGAGTACAATTTTATGAGGCACACAAATAATTGACCCCAAAACAATGGATTCCTGAAAAAACAATCCAGAGACTGATAACCCTTAACACAAAGGAAAATGTGAAAGCCTTCATGTGGTTTGCACACAAGGAGCAGTTTGTTCAAATTATTTTCAGCCCGAATGATGCACATTCGGAAATAAAATCTGATTTCACTGCAGCTTGATTTTGAATAAGGAAGCTTAAAAATACTGGTGGATAAAAAGAAATTCAACTTTTACTGTGTGACTAGAAAAACAAACACAATACTGCAGGGGAATTTGACAAGGAAGGTATGACCAGACGCATTGAGGATTTTGATTAAGTTTGTAGGATTTTATTTTAACTTAGGTCTATTGATGAGCAATATGTGTGTGATATATTTTACTTTATATATTGGGGCTTTTGACCGATAGTTTCCTGCGTTTGCATGCACAATGAACTCAAATTTTACACTAAATATTGCGGGGTATAAACCATCAAAATGCTTTAGATGGACAATTTTTCAGACATCATCTTTCGGTACAATCCTTGGTTCATATAATCACCCATGCTATGGGGAAGCAATAGATTGAAGTTTCTTATTAGAGCTCATCAACAATAGTGTGTTTTGAACTCCGGATCCATCACATAGCAGGCGTGTGCTTGTGTGCATGTTTTCGCTGTGCAAACCAACTCACACTTGGGGATGAACGGAACCGACAATTCTATAGTTTGTGGCGTCTCAAGTGAGGATCGGTCAGTTTACTAGACCCATGCAGTCTCGGGTTGACGTGCACAATTAAACCTAGCAGTTTGGATCTTTAATTCAATTTACCTGAGAATTACTTGTGAGTAGTGGCGTTCATTGGGTTACTTTGATTTAGAATGACCATCTTCAGACTTCAAGTTCAAGCATAGCATCCGGGAAACAAACCCTGTCTCCGACCTCTAGTGTGAGCGTAAAAGAGATGGAGCACAAGAAATCAACTGAAAACTGTATTGAATGCTTTATCAGGACAAGTCTTCTATTTGGCGCACTTAATTTCTATTCCATTTCAGAGCTATCACAATCTTCTAAAAATTACCTTCACTCCAGTTGTGGTCCACATAACCAGTATGAGAGTCTGAAAGTATGGAAAATAAGAGCGTCACCAAGAAGAGACTTAAAAGTAATATCGCTGAAGTAGGTTATATAAGTGTCGCCACGGTGTGGTACATCCAGGATATATATATATATATATATATATATATATATATATATATGGGGTTTGCGGGCAATTATGTTGCCAACGCCACAACAATAATAACAATAACAGGGGATCGGGGGTTCGGGATATAGAACAGAAAATAGCAATGAGAACCAAGTGGAACAAACTTTATGACATCTG